TTGATATCACTCAAAATAAGTACATATGAAAACCAAATAAGATTTTAAAATCCATCCATCCCTTTAAAGATTCTTCCTCACTCTTGTGTTCACGTTTTTTAAAATTATTACCAACACAGAGGTCACAGAGGCGACAGGGGGGCGGGCAGCAAATTTTAAGGGGTGTCCAGTGCCCCTCCTGGCCCCCCTTTGGTGGCACCTCTGAATCCAGCGTTAATCGCGTAGGTCCAGATGGACAAGAAGATGACCTTGAGGGAAAACTGGGCGATGATTGTACAGGTACAGAGAAACTAACAAACACATTATTCATTAAATGTGTGTTTTGTTTAGATTTTTGTTGTTTGTTCGATTTTTTACAGTGAACTGTTAATATTTTTATCAGTGTTATTAAAAGTTTATTACATTATGTTATCGTTCAAGTAAAAACAGAAAATCTAAAATCTTTGTTCGGTCAGTCGCCTCACCTCTGTAATGAAAGAGACCATTCCCATCCACAAACACCACCTGCAGAGAGAACACACCTGAAATGAGTTCGACTGCAGGAAGCTCGATATTACTCGCTTTTTCCACAGCAGACTTTTCCACGTGTCTGAGGATTAAAAGCACAGGTGAAATAGTAAACAGAGCTACTTCATCAACAGAGGCATTATTAATCTTTTGCTTCTACCTGTGCTATGAATGATATGATCAACTAAAATGTCCAGAGTGAAAGATTTTTGTTGTTATCTATTGTGTCTATAACCCTGGGATGGCAGATCTTCAAAAGCCGAAGTTAGTAAGAGCTCCTCAAACTGATATTGGAACGCTTCCAGCTCCAACACACCGATGAATTTTTAAAGCCAAAGGTGACTCCGCAGACATATTTCTGCTTGAATCATAAGTCACCAGGAACACTCACTTGAAAGGTTGCAGATAAAGGGAGCAGTGACTGCATCTGTCCAGAGCTAAATGTCACTGGAAGTAAATCTGAGCTTGTGTGTGTGTGTGTGTGTGCATGAATTTCTAAGTGTGAATGTGTGTGTTTCTGCACACCTGCGTGCACGAGGACGACAGAGGGACAGAGTGGGAGGCGTGTGGGCTGCGACAAACAGAAGCGAGTGGGTGAAGATGAACAAGAGGCGTCGCTTTAGAAAAACAAAAAACCGAGAGGACAAACAGAGGAGCTTCATCGTCGGAGCTGCACTTAATGTGCATGAACGTGATGCGAGGTTTTAAAGCACTTGTCCAAATCCAGTAACGTTAGCAGGTTGTCGGTCTTGTTGGATTCATAAGTACCGGTAACTTTTTCCACTTTGGAGGATTTATCGGTTATTAAAACATTTCCAGCTCACTGTGCCCTGGAGATGGGAATTATATCACTTCTTCTAGTACTACTACCATAAATATAATGATAATAGTTATCACAATAATAACACTCAGATCTTACTGAAGAAATTTTAATTACTTAGTTTGCCCAAAATCCTCAGGTTTCTAACTTTATCTGTAGGAATTTATGCCAAAACTGCAAACTAAGGTTAACAAGCACAAACTAAAATGTTTTCTTTTCACTCTATTGTGAATATGAACCATCAGCATCAACAAAATAATGGAAAAAGAGTTTGTTTTACTTCCTGGTCAAATAAAAATGCAAAAAGATATATATATTTTCCTTTGTCTGTGTAGCTTTGAGAAGTTAATCTGACAGAAACGAACAGAACCCATTTCAGTAGTCACTAAAACAGGGGTGGGCAACTCCAGGCCTCGAGGGCCGGTGTCCAGCAGGTTTTAGATATCCCCCTGGGTCAACACACCTTAATCACATGATTAGTTCATTACCAGGCCTCTGGAGAACTTAAGGACATGTTGAGGAGGTCATTCAGCCATTGAATCATCTGTGTTGGCTCAAGGACACATCTAAAACCTGCAGGACACCGGCCCTCGAGGCCTGGAGTTGCCCACCCCTGCACTAAGAGGTCATTATTCAAGTTCTAGCACGTCCAGACCTGAGGAAGGAGTGTGGGCTGGTTCTTCTTCAGCCTCTGCAGAGCCTCCAGGAGGAAAGGAGTTTCTCTGAATGCCAGAAAGCCGGCTATGTAGGGGGCCGTCAGGGTCACCATCTGACTGTCTTCATACAGCACCTGGCAGGAGGGAGCAGAGACTGCTTCATTTCTTGTGACTGAATTTTACTACACTGTCGGATTATCACAATATTTCATTTCTCCATTACAAGCAGCAATCTCCAAAGTCTCCACAGACACCCACACTAACATCTTCATCACCTTCATTCATCATAAAACCTTTTTTTGTTTTTTTAATAACCCATCTTTTTTAAATGTTGTTAGGGGCATGGCTGCTTTGATTGACAGGTGGGCTGACACAGGCCAGTATCTGCCAGGTGTCACTTCTGCTGGCCTAACGAGTGTGTTACTGTTATTAACCTTTAAGCCACGTTGGATAATTCTGCAGGATATCCATATTTCAGTCAGTCAGATGACCACAAGTATACAGAGAAGTTCATGGTAGACTCAGTGACTGCGGAGTGCCCAGGTCCTGTGGCTGCACAACAAGCCCAAGCACAATCATCGCCCCTCCATCCCCGTGCTTACAGTTGTTATGAGGTGTTTGTGCTGATATGTTGTTTTTTCCAGATGTGGTGCTGTGCATTATAATCAAACATCTCTACTTTGGTTCTGCAACTCTTGTGGTTTGTTCAGATGCAACTTTGAGGGCTTTTGGAGAGCAGACGATTTCTCTTGGCAACCATTTGAAAAAAAAAATCTTTGTTCATTTTTTTTCCTTTTAACATAACGTTTGAATACTAATTGAGGCCTTGAGAATCTGAGATGGAGCTCTTGGGCTTTTGCAGTTTCTCTGACGATTGCATGGTTTGACCTTGGGGTGAATTTGCTGTGACATCCACACCTGGGATGTTTATGGCATTGTGTTAACACACACCTGAATCCTACAGACCAGCAAACCGCCCAAACTTCTGCTTTAACAGAGGTGCTGCATTTGATTAGCAGCATTGGCGCTTCGCAGCCTTTTATGTTCTAAGGAAGCAGTAAGTCTGTACTCAGCTTTTCACAGCACTGCACAGAGTCCTGTGAAAACCTACATTATTGCATGACTGTACATAAATGAGTCAGTCAGGGACACTGTCAGGGTGCTTTGGACAAATGCGTCCACCCTAGTGTATATGTAAGGGTGAGTCCAAAGGCACAGACAAGCTGTACAAGATAATCACCAACATCGCCCATCTGGCACAAAATGAAACATCTGCTCCCTGTTGATTAAAGGCTGTGAGTATATTCTGAACATCTGACAATTTATTTCATTTAAGTGACCTGGTGAATTAAGTGGACACAGTTACAGTTTAACTGTATAAACTCCTAAAATTTTGGTGTACATCTAATTTTTAATCTCATCCTCGGGAGGCCTGTAGTGCAGAGCGAGTTCAACAGCAGGATATCTACTCATTGTCTGACAACCAGAAGAGGCCACATGAACTTGTAATGAGTCAGCCCATATTTTCTAAATCCCATTCAAATTAAACGGGGATCACCAATCATGAACATGGAGAGGTCTCAGAAGAATACACAACTATAAGGCTCAACACATACGAGCCAAGCAAGAGCAACAACATTGTTTCTCCATGCTCTATGAAAGTTAGCTTACAGGAAGAGGATCTAAACTAGTTTTTAATAGGAGACTGAACTCAAGGGCTGCACCGGCACAAGATAAATGAGGGTTATTTTGAACTGAATAATACAAAGATACTTATGTGTCCATGAATACAAATCTGGAGCAGAAAAGAGCCCCTTCGTTTATGTAAAACACTATCAATATTGCCTAATTAACAGTCTTAGTATTGCCATGCAGACTACATTTTGATTAGAACCACAGCGGGTTGTAAAATCAGCACAATATATACTGTAAACAGCCTTTCCCATGCTGGCAGGATCCATGTATGTACCTCCCTCGCTGTCCTGTCTATTTTAAGCAGCATCGCCGCAGGTAAACATGTCTGCCATGATCTCCTTCCGAGTATCCTGTGAGGTACCAGCAGGGTCCAGGAGACCCTCTGAGACCTTATGCAGATTACAGGTGCACAAGCTGTCGCAACTTTCTGACCAGCATATAAAATCCTGTTCTGCTCACAGCGAAGAGATGTGCTCACATCTCGAATGATGTAACATCTGACAGCATCACGTGTTATCGAGGCTGTTATCGGGCATGAGCTACAAATAAAACACACAAAAGCTGTCCGCCGAGTCGAGCTCGCAGAGGCTCACAGCAGAAACGTTTCTGAATACCTGCCTTTTCATCTGGCTTTAGAAATGCCGAACACCTTTCAGGATATGTCATTGTCATATTGTCGACTGCCGTGACCTTCATCTCCTCACAGGCATATTTATTCAGTGAGAAACAATAAAATTATACAACTTTTGCTTTTTTTCTGTGTGACTTGCAGCAGCAGTGAGCACACTGTGGAACGTGGAACTAGCATTCTTTTGAGCCCCAAATAGCCTCAGGTGGCAACGTTGAAGTAAATTGAAAACAAGCAGGGAACATAATCACATTATTGAACAACATTTCTGAACACATTTCATTAGCCTCACTGGGTCCATGTATCAACAATGTATGGTGACATATGTCATTAATTATAATTGGAAGTTGCCAGCAGGCCGTGTTAATGCACAGATAAATAACTGCGAGGAGCAGTGCTGGTGAAAGGCTGCTGGGAAAGTAAATGAAATGAAAAGCTGGACTGGGAAGGTCACTTTGAGCAGCTCTGTTGCATATTAACACTTTCACTGCCAGACTACTGTTTTCAATTTATGTGTATATTTTAAAAATAAGCACATTAGGGACACAGGACACATACAGGATGGCGTTCACGCACAGCTTTTCTGTGTGTTTACAATTCTATTTTACTTTAAATCAGATCATAATTTACAAAATCAGAGATCACGCTGCATTAAAGAAAAATTAAAAGGAGCGGCTGAGTGCATGAACTCATCAGGAAAGATTTTATTCAGGTTATAAATGAAACGAAAGGTTATTGTCTTCTTCTATACAACTGGATCAGAAGCTACATCTATGCATGAAGTTTAATTATATTTAACATTGTAATTACTTGACATAAACGTATATATTTAACAAAATGTTTTTCTCAAGGCCAAGAAAAAAATTTTTTTGTCTTGGAATAAAGAAAGCCAACAGAAGAAAGCAGCAGCTCTGAGGAAAACAAATATGCACTCCTCGGGGTTTGCATTCTAATATGCCTAAAATAACGTTGTTGGCATATGACTGTTCATAAGCCCCACAGGCAGGAGCTCACAGGAGAAGTTATCAAAAGGTGAGGGTAAAACATTTAAAATCACTTCAGCGGCTCCCTAGAACACACCGACAGCCCCGGCGAGAGCAAGAATAATTTCTTCCTCATGCCGCCAGCTTTCAGGAGTCATAAAAAAAGCTGTGACTTCAAGGCGAGGAAGCAAGAGGAGAAAAACGCCCATAAGGACTTTGTATTCAGTGCCCAAACAAAGTAAATGCGACTACTTTAAAGGTTAACAGCTGGCCTTGCGCAATATTCCAGCTGCACATATTACAAAGCCTTCAAAGGCCAAGCATTTTTATAAGGATAGCATTTTGTAACGTCATGTGTTTCCTTTTCATTAAAGGTGTCACTGGTGAAAAAAATGCAGCCTGTGGAATTCAATATCTGATCCTCAGCCTTCTCCACGAAGCACTGCTGCTGTTCCCACCTGTCACCACTAGAGGTCAGAAAAGCTTAGATGTTTTTAACTCAAGTGTTTATTGAACTTTCTCACAAGTTGAAAAATGGAAATTAAATTTTAATTTACATATATGAGTTTTAATCTGTAATCTTTTATTTATCTTAAACAAACAAAAACATATAAAGGGGGTTAGAGTTATAAAATAACACTAATGTTTTATGAAATATGATATATTTGGCATTACAGGGTTATTTTATCTCTGTTTACTGGATGTAGCGCCCAGGTAGCTCACCTGCAGATCTGGGTAGCTGAGTACCACAAGCTGGGCACAGGCATTGACGTCATCCCCTTTGATGAAGGAGAGGTCCACCCCACCAACTCGCTCCAGACCTGAAAAGTCTGGGCTCCTCTGCCAGTCCTCTGTGTCGTCCTCCAGCACCTGCTGCCTCAGACGTGCCTGCTCACTGCATCGGGAAACAAATATATAAACATAAACACAAACAAATATAAACACACTCGCTGGCAATTACTTCATGAAAAAATATGAGGCCGGCATGTAAAGTCTATAGCAGACAAAAGGGCTGTTAACAGCAACAAATCTGATCTTGATGAACCCAGGTGGTTCGACTCCTGCTGTGGTTTGTAGAACTGCAACTAATTTAATTATTCAAAACAAGGACTTATCTCGACAGCTTTCAAAACCAGTGACATTCACATCGTGAATTTTTAATAATGTCTAAAAGAAGAATCAGTCAGCTGCTTGTATTGTACTGTTGAAATGTAAATATCTGTAAATGTTGTAATTGTGTCTCTCTGCAGGACAGCAGGAGCTCCACACGCTCACATTAATCAGAGACATCAGGACATGATACAGACTACCATGATGATATCGTTGGTCTTGTCTTTACAAACAAGTAAATCAATGAAAGGCTGATGAGGTGTGGAGGTGGCTCAGCTCCAAGAGCTGCCTGTGTCGTGCCAAAGTAGTTGGCCCTGACAGAAATTGCATCCCCTGCACAGCAGCATCTGTCAGCACAGTCGCTGCTTTTTCCTGACAAATGACATTTTTACAAACTGTAAGACAGGTGCTACAACCATGTACTGTCAAACAATTACTGCTGCTCTAATGTAGGATGAACACACACTGAGTTCTTAAAGATACAGAGACACAGAGAGAAAAGAAGAATATAAACAGGAAATAAATACAATCATGATGAAATTAAATAATGGTAATGAAAATACTGAAAATATATATTTTTAAAGAATAGAGACCTCTGGTATTTCAAGATATCATCACTCTTTAAGCTGAATTTTTATCATTTTAGGATCCCAAAATATGGATGAGGTCGTTATAACTTGCGTTAAACGATTATAAAGCCTAATATGATTACACTCTACGGCACTGGTGCTGTTTTGGTATTTCACCATCCACTGAAGCTGACTTCTTCTGGATGGGACACTTTGGAAAACTTTGAAGATAAAGAATCAGCAGCGTTTGGAGCAAAACGAGTCTAATGGACTTAACTGCAGAATAAAAACTGGGTCGTATTTAAGGTGTGCTGTGAGTAGCTGAGACAGAACAGCACTCTGACCTTTCCCACTGCTGGAGCAGATCTTCTGCGGGAGAAGCGGACATCTGTCAGCCTGCTAATGAAGACACGACCAGCTGTGAAATTACTGTTTTTAAGAAAAGAAAACACCAACTGACAGCAGCAGGGAGCAGGCTGTTTACTTCCGTACTGCTGACGCGACTTTGAGGGCGGGGTCACTGGGACTATCCGGGTAAATGCTGCCACCTAGTGGTTTAAACTGTTAACTACATCAGGTTTCTGCTCACACCGCATGCAGCAGGATGTGTTAAGGTCCGAAAAATGGCTCCTCATGTGGCAGTTCAGAGGTTCCCTGTTCGGCTGTCTTCTGGTACCTTCTCCACATACTTGAGACAGCAGGTTTGCAGTTGGACTCGCAATAGCTTCTGTTTCCTAACTGAACAAATTAATATCCCTGAAGTTAAAAGTGATTTTGCCTCAGACGCCGTGCAGGATGGTCATGGACTGAGGTTATTACAGTTAACTGCAATTAAAATAGAAACTAAAACCAGCTGAAACTAAAAATTATGACTACATGACATGTTCACGTCCTCCACAAAATGTGGTATTTGAAAAATTTCTCTAGTTACTACGTGAAACTAAACTTAAAAAAAAATTTACAGGACAAAAGCTAAAATATAAAACTAAATTACTTTAGCCAGGTGAGAATATGGAGCAAATCTAGAATGACTGACTGTAATTTTTCAGTACAAACATTTTATTAATCATTGATGAAAAAATATATGGGCTCTTAAATGAGGGGTGAAATAAAAAGCACTGGAAGGAACTGTCAGTACAAATCATTACACAGTGATCATGTTGGACCTTTGTTCTTGATAAAACAACTGGATCCGGATGGGAGTCATCTCCCACCGCAGCACAGCAGAGGTCACTGAATAGTTTGATGAGGATGAAAATGATGTGAATCATCTGCTACGGCCTTCATTGTCCCCAGATCTAAGCTCATCTACAGGAAACATGTCTCCAACCCCAGTGTGTCAGTAAATAAGAGGATATGTTCTGGAAGAATGGTCTATAAAGAGCACTGAAGTTATTTAAGACCTTACTTAAACAATTTATGTTAGTTTGTGGAGACATTCAAGAGTTAAGGGATAAATTGAATAGAAGATATTTAAGTAGCATTGTTTTGATAACCTTGTAAATTTTTTGTCCATTTTTATCCAGACAGGTTCTGAAATATGAAAAGCTACACAAACAAACAAACAAGAAATAATACATCAGTGTGGAGCTGCCATGAAATCAAAGTCATAAACGTCACGATCCAAGGAAATAATCAGCCAGACCTTCAAGACAGACTCAATACAACGCATGTTTTTTTTCTTATTTAATTTAATCACAAATCCACTACAGTAAAACATATTCAGCGTGTGTTCTGCATTAGTAGAAGTACCAACACAGATTTATTTACAGTCTACATAAAAGTCTGCGAGCCTTTCGTCTCTGTGGCAGCGACGCCTCCACAGGTTCACTCCTTGAACTTCCACTCCTGCCGGCACATGGGGCACTGCTGCTGGACCTGCTGTGAGTTCAGCCACTTCAGGATGCAGTGCATGTGGAAACAGTGGGAGCACTGACCCCAGACCAGCGGGCAGTCATCCCCAGGCACTTTGCCTGCAAAACAAACAAACAAACAAACAAACAAACAAACAAACAAACAAACAAACAAACAAACAACAACAACAAAAACACACATTAGAGAGACTGGGCAGGATTTTGCATTCAGTTGCTGATTAGCAGATATCCTCTTGTAATACTATACAAGTGTTTCCCCACACAGACCACTTAAGTATATTTAAGAACTCATTTCATCCATTTGTGTGAGCAGTGCCATCCCCGATCAATTTAGGCATTTGCTCTTATTTTGAAAGTTCAGTTGCTGTTAATCAGCTACCTGTGACCTTTCCCGTGTTGCCTTTTCTCCAGTGAGTGGCTCACAGGCCCAGCTGCGGTTGTGGCGGTCTTCAATATCAACCTAAAGAACCTACAGGCAATACTACAAGATACTGCAGCTGGAGTTGATCTCCAAGATGGGTCACTGGAGCGGCCATCAATCCATTTTCCACCACCGTCTCCTGACTGAAGTGCTCATCCTGTCTGTAAGGCTGAGCCCAGACAACACAAGAAGCTAATTTCACCCACAAATATCCAAAATCAATTTCTTTCAGTCGCCTCTCAGCGACACCTTTTCCTTCATGCTACCGTGTCAACAGCGTCTGTGCTGTTAACAACCAGGAAGGTTCCTCTGCTTAGTCCAGAGGATGTGGTGACCATGTTTTCCAAAAAACAATTTCAATTCATCTGACCTGTGAACAGGTTTTCTACTTCCCCTCAGTTCATTTTGAATGAGCCCAGAGGAGATGTTGTTGATCATCATCATCATCATCATTGTTGATCATGTTCACATACAGTTTGCTCTTTCGATATTCTGAGGCATTGCAATTTTATCTTGAGGAACATTTTTCTAAAATTGTTCCACAGCTTGTAGAAGCGTTTTTTTGTAGAGTGGTGATTTTTTTTGCCCGTCTCTGCCATCGTTCTCACTACTTGGTTTGTATAAACACGAGGGCCAGGATACATTTGGCATATTGTCGGTCGGATAATACATAAAGCGTTATATGTATTAGAAGCAAACCCACCAAAGAACAATCTTGTTTTGTTTTGTTATGTTTGCATCTTTAATGCAGCCACTCGTTACTTAGTGCTATGTTATTAGCTCTGATACTCACAGTCAGGACAGCAGCCGTTAAAGGCCATCCTGCAGATCCCACAGTTGTCATCGTTGGCCACCCAGAGCCAGGAGGCAACCCCGTTCCACTGTTTGATTTTCACCTTCATCCTGCGGATCTGACAGGAGCACAAACGCATCACACCGGAGCAGCTAATGCTAGCACGATGGCTAATGTTGACACACGATCTCTGAATATTAATGTTCAGCAACACGTTCTTACTTACTTACATTAACACGTCTCCTTCAGGTATCTCACACTCGGTAGGTTAGCAAAAAACAAATCATTTAGCGCTGGTTTGATCGACGTCTATAACATAAAAGTGATGTTTTAGCAACCCGGGCAAAAATCGTTTCTTCTTCTTCTGCTGAAAGACCCCCAGGCTGTATCCTGGGATGGGACATGCTGCCCTCTACAGTCAGTTTGGGGGAAAACCTCAAAATAAAAGAGCACTAAAGATCTGTTTTTGAAGAGAACAATCGTCACATCACCAGGTAAGTAACACAAAGGAGCTCCTGCCAGATCTGAAAAGGTGATGGTGTCATTCTAATGTTTACAACTGCTTATTTATTTTTTTTGACAAACATACTTATTTTAATGAACCTTTATTCTATCATTGAACATTTGAGGCAATCTGATATTTTCTATAATATAAGAAATAATAACAATTATTTTTTAAGGGGCTAAACAGAATTGAAATTGAAAGATTTGCAGCATGAACACTTGTACAACAATAAATCTGTAATGTGCACATAAAAGCAGCACATTTGAAAATTAATAAATAAATCCTTATTGTTAATGTTTAAAACAACTAGTTTTCGCGGCAACATCAAAACAGACAAGAGCATTAATATGAAAATATAAAGATACAAACAGTGAGGTAATATATGCAAAATAATAGTGGATGATGATTATAATATACAGTGCAAAAAATGAAGAATGAGAGGGACAGGGGTTAATGCACTTGTAGTTCTCGGGGTAGGGGCTTATTGCAGTAGAATAGGAGAAGAAGAGGGGGGATGTATTTGACTGCCTGTTTGAAGAAGCTGTTTTGTAATTTGTAATCTGTGAGTTCTGCTTCTGATTGAGCTCTATTTCCAGAGGACTGTGGCATCGCTTCAGGTGATGTAGATGATGAATCCATTAAACTTACAGGTGGCTCTTATTTTTTTGGCACTCATCCTGTGTAAATCTCACCGAGCGATAGTATCACACGTCTGGAACCACCCATGCAGATCTTTTCTGTTTGTGATGAACCACACCATGCAGCACTAGATGACGAGGCCCGCTGTTGTTGACTGAGAGAAGCTGGTCAACAGGTGATGAGAGACGATCTTTAACTTCCTAAGGATGTAAAGCCTTTCCCCACCCGATGGGAGATATGTGTGGTGTGGGTGAGATCGACCAGGATGTGCACACCAAGGAACTTAAAGCTCTCCACTTCCTCCACCTGTACGCCTGAAGCGGAGTGCTCAGTATGCTTCAGTTTTCTAAAGGCTACATTGCTTCTCTGCTTTTTACTGGGTTTAAGTCCAGATTATTGTGACAACATCACACAGTCAGAGGTTGAACTCGTCACCTGCTATCGTGCCATTATTAGCAAATGTGACAGTGGTGTTGGTATGCTGTATGTGTAGTCATGGGCTAAGAGCGAGCTGAGGACAAATATGCGAACACACATGAAAACCTTGACGCGTCTCCATTTAGTTTTGTTTTCTTTAAAAGCAATTGTAATGCTAGATGTCCACTAGATGCAGCTGGTCTGCAATCCAATGTGCTGAGGTGATGCTCACACTTACAGCACATCTGGTCTTCCTTCTCCAGGACATTTTTGTGTGCTACACTTTCTATCCCTTCATCTTGTCAAAATCTTATGTATCCGTTTCTATTTTTTCTAACATTATTTTTACATTAAAGGAAACAAGCACCACGTGATGACGTTAATTTTCCATTTTACAGAATCTGAGATGATGAACTGTCAGTGATGAAATGCAGATCACTCAGTGCAGAGAACCTTTGATCATTAGTGGAGCTGGAGATGCAGCACAAGGCCCGTATTTGTAAATTCACAGATTAACCATGTCACTAACAGATGATTGCAACGAATGGAAAAGCAATTTTTAGTTCTAGGCAATAAAAACATTTTGATACAGAACGTAAAAAAGCATGACAGGAGTCTGCAGTTTCTTATAATTCAAGTTTAATGCTGAAAAATGTAAAGCCACCATTTTCTCATTAATCCAAACATCCTTTTTTACACAATATCTCACACAAAGGTAAAGAGAAGATATGCAAAGATGAACACGGAGCAGAGAGACTGACGAATGTGATGAACAGTCACGACAGACAGTTATAGCCCTCATTTTTCAGTGAGATGTTGGTGAGAGGCGCTCACCCTCCAACAGCTAAAGTCAGAGAAGCAGGTTAAACTTCTGGTGTTCAAGAGAATTAACTGAAATGGAAATGAAAACCCATCCCATCTGAGCACACTTATTTATGCCTACAGCTTCAATTAAAAAAAAGAAAGAAAAAAGGTCCACTCTGCTTTCTAAGATCTACACACAAAACTGGAGTGTGAAAGTGTGAGAGTAGTAAAAGGAATATAAAGCAGTAGTCAGGTTTGAACTGTTGCCTCATCAGTCAAACCTGTGAAGAGATGAAGATCAAATCGCCTGAAGGAATAACCAGGTGAAGTCAAGTGTGCCGAGAGAAGAGTGGAGAAACACATTTTACAGGCATCTTCCTCCCCCCACTGTAATTAACATTCACCCCTTTACCCCATCACACACCCGTAGCCCTCATCACGAAGAGGGCCACTCAGTAAAACAATTCATGTTATTGCAGTTAATGACATGTAGATACCACAAGTTAACCAGTAACTATTAAAAAAAAAAAAGCAGTTTATGTATCAAAAACAGGCAAGGTCCTTTTTTTTTTTCCTTTTTTCCATAGGAGGGAAAACACATATGAACACAGATGCCACAGCTGTCTTGCTCACGAGCTCTGAGCATTTCCTGTCATCCAGTCCTATAAATAACGCCAAATTTTTGTGCTTCTTTTTGATGTTTCACTGAAAGAAATGCTAAAACTTTCCACAGACGAGAACTTGTTTTACCGTTACGAATGTCTTTAATTTGGTATGCTAAAAAGTAGTCCCAAGCTAACACTGTCATATACCAGCTAAAGAAAAGGAGATTCGTATTTTATTTATCATTAAATATTTGATCTGATATTCGGTCCGAGAGCTCCAACATGCTCTAGAAAGACTCTAGAAACCCATGTGACCTATACCTGAACTGTAGCTACAGAAACCTACAGAGCTGCTTTAGGTGGGACTTGTTTTGTTTAAAGAGTCCCACAGAATAAAGACAGACTGCAGGAGTGAGAGAAAGACCAACACTGGCTCATCTGCAGCTCTCTTTTCAAGTCAGACTTTGACGGGACAGTAGACACGTTAAAGCGATGGAGTAATCCTGTTGCTTTTTACAGCAGAGTGTCACAAAGAAGCAGCTGCCGGACTGTAACGTTATTTTAAGCATTATTAACCGTTTCAGCACATGTATCATAAACACTGCTCGAAAATCTGTGGAAAATTCAGCGAGGTACAACGATCCGTGATCGTGTGCAGATGTGTGCTCCCCCCGAGCAACGTGGTGCTGCGTGGAGTCATTACAGCGAGGAGCAACAACCAGTGTGGCATCTGTGTGTATATATCTATGAGGAAAAACCCCCCGCTTTTATTTTTTTGCCGTTGTTGTCAGCTGCACTGTGTAACCATGGCAACAGCACCCAATGACTCTTGGCAAAGTTGAACATTTCTGCCCTCGACGGGGAGTCTGATCTGTGCGAAGTCATCAATGCTCATCAACCAAATAGAACACGTTTAAAAAAGAAAATGAAATGTTCATTTGACTCACGATCGCTTGTCTGTTACAGTGGTGACTAAGTGATGCTTACAAAGGCTAAAATGGTATTATTTATTGACACATGGCTCTTAAAATGGCTATATCTTAAATCTTAAATAAGAGATCCGTAAACCCAATCACCACGTGACTTCACCCATCAAGTGTCTCCAAAACACAAACAAACCAACACTAGCACTTGTACAGTATCAATGTGGTCTACTGGTGCGCCGTCAAATGATAAATCACGAAAAGAAACATTCACCCCTAAAGCACACTGAAATCTACATCACTCTGGAAACGTAACGATGGCAGTTCCGCCCAATTCACCACAACCATCCAAATTCAGGCATTTCATTGGCTGGCGCTTGCTAACCAATCAGTAGCACATTCACCAATCAGTGACAAGGCATTTCCTTGACTGCTTCATTTAACTTGAGTTCCTCAAATGTGCAGACGCTCGACAGGAAGCAAACGAACTGCAGCCGTTCCACGTTAAGATGATTTTTTATACATATATTTTCAAAGCATGAGGTAGGGATGCACCGATGAATCAGCCAAGTATCAGCTGATAAGATGGCGTTACTGACTTTTGCGCTGGCTAAATGTTCAAAAACTGTTCCATGAAGAGCTAAAACACATGCATTTTTTTTTTTAAATAAAGTTTTTTTTTTTTTCTTTTTCTTTCACCTGGAACAAAAAAAACAATATAAAGACTAAAAAAAAATGTCAGTATCAGTGCTGGATTACGGCCTAGTATTTCACAGTCAGTGCATCCCTTACTACGAGGACAGAGCACGTGTCGAGGAGAAAATCTGGCAAATTATTTTTGTTTCACTCCTGACAAAAAGTCTGTAGACGAGAAACGGTGGTGCCACAGAATTCAGCCGTTTACCGACTCGAGTTTGCCCGTCTGTGCGCCTGTACGCAAGAAAAAGTTCATCTGCAATCTGCACCAGTGATGACGTTGGCCCAGCGGTGCAAAGCAGACTTAAAAAGAAAAAGACAACATTTCACTGCACAAGACGAGGTAAAGACATTGTTTTTGAAATACCCGAACCAAAGTCAAAGGACAATCATGATGTACTTTTTGACGCGACTTTAAAATGTCCTTTCAAACCGTGAAAACACACCGAGATAACAGGGCGGCGTGTGCATGCTGGTTAGGACTGTAGCCAGAGCGCAAACATTTCTTAAGCAAAGTACGGCCTCTGTGTTGTATAACCAAACACAAAAAGGTAGCACTCGCACAAGACCTCAGGAATAAGTCACCTTTACCAATCATGTCAAACATGAGTCAAGTTTAGTCACATGACAGGAATGACTCAGAAAATGTGGGATCTGTCAACTTACGCCTGAAGTATTGTGAGTGCTGCCTTTTTATCTTTGGTTATTCAGCACTGGGCCTACATCACTTTGATAGTTGAAGTCTTTGACTCTCATAATACTCATTTCTGAATGTCCTTTATCAACTTTTTTTATTCCATCCTTTCAAACTTTAAATTCATGTCAAACCTCTGAAAGTATTACTAAAACAGGAAATGACATCACTGTAACATCAGGTACTTTGGTTCTGCCAATTCAAAAAAAAAAAAAAAATGCATCAAATGTCCCGTTTTCAGAAATGTTACTGGTATAAGGTTTGTCATCCTGTTTTCTGAAATGTAGCATTTTGACTTTTGTTACTGCGTTTTGCACCTTGGGGCCACCGTAAATGATTCTCCTCATACATTTTCACGTTAAATAGAAATATTTCACACAGTAGAAAGTCAAACTTGTGTTATTGCTTCTAGTGGATTTACTTTGCTAAGCGTCAGATTTGGGTCAAATATTCAAAAGATGTGATGCAACCTGTACAGCAATGCAATGAGTGTCAGAAAGCTCAACTCAGCCACAGGAGCAAGCCGGGAAGATTTTACCTGGCAATTGCCGAAGTCACTGACACCTGTACTGTTGTGATACAGACAGCTGATCTTATTTGACCCAGATCTATTAGATGTTCACCCCACCCACATTTGACCTATATACAGCTCCCCAGAGACAATAAACCCTCCAGTAACAATATGGCAAACACTGTCAACTTTTTTCCATGTCAAACGTTCTCGTGTGCGTTTGTGCCCGAGTGGCGTTCGTATGTAACAGCTCATCCAGTCTTTATCAGCAGACGCACATGAATGAGGTATGCGTCGCCTCGGTACTGTGTATGTGTGTGCACGTGTAAATGCATATATGTAACAGCGCCTCCAGTGTCGTCATCCTGTTCCGTAGGATGAGAATATTGCTTTCTGTCAGCTTCTGGTGCCTGAAAGGCACCACTCCTCACCTCCTGGCCTTTATCCGCTCCATCGTGCACAAAACATTCTGCTGATGGTCTTATTCAAACTGCTGCCCAGTTGAGATGCCAGGCATGGAAAATATATGACCCTTTGTGCAAAAATCAGCCCTTTAAATTGTACATTTAGTTTCTTTTTGCCTCAGAATTTTTTTTAATTCTTTGTCTTCCGTTTGTGCAAGCATGCATCAGTTCCACAGAGACTGGCTGTGCAATAGGAACAGAGTCCAAAGATGATGGTTTAAGGGTATGGGGATAGGAAAAGTTGGCGTCCGTGTTGACGGTATGGGCAGTCGAGGAGGGACGTGGGTTTGGGGAATTGAAGTCCTCTGACACCAGTTTCTACCTGGAGATCATGGAGCTGGACTGGGATTGGTTGGAGTTGGTGGTGGCGGCGCTAAGCTGAGAGAAGCCGCTGTGGCTCGACTCCAAGCTGGTCATAGATCCCCTGAGAGAAGAAACAAACATGCGGTGAACACGTGAATGCACACAAAGCTCACACTTCAGCTAATTTCATGTGTACACGACACCTGTGCAGCCTTAAGACTGCTTGGCACTAACTGAGCGCACTATGTGTGCATGACCCGTGCTCATGATGCAGAACCATGCAGTCAGAGCAAACCTAAAGGAGGGAGAATCACTCTGGACCCTACAACATACAGGCCCTGCCACAGGCTGCAACAACTCAGGGAACGGTTTTACACCAGCCACTGTTTTTAATTTTATAATGAATAAAAACAACAACAAAACAAAAAAAACAAACAGCCAAAGGTCAGGGCATTTCGTTAAAGGCAGGAGCCACTTAAAGGGGATCCATTGTTCTTTTACCATTTCCTGTCATATCTGTGTTAAAAAAAAAAGTTTTGGGGGTGGATGTTCATGTTAAATATGGCAACATTTTCCAATAAGAGAGGTCCATATAACAACCCCTGGAAGCTCGAGACACTGTAATGTTAGCAGTCATCTCAGGCACAGAAGCCACACCCACGTGCTGTTCAAACTGTCTGTTTACAAAAGGCACCAATCAGAACAAAGCTGCTTGAAAGTGGGAGGAGCAGCAAGGCCCAGTATAAGGTAAACAAAACTAAACCGTATCCTACAAGCTACTCTAGCAAAACCTAAAAACAAAATATGCAGCTGGAAATGAGCGAAACCGGCCACTTCAATGAGGCTTCCTGTGGCAAAGCATGAGGCACCATTTTTCTTTTATTACTTATGAATGAATAAAAGAAACTTTAGGTATTAATTCCCATGTCGTAGGTAGACTGGTTTTGGATTTATATGGATGCAATATAAAATTACTATGTGCATTGACAAAACCAATGTCTTGGTTTAATATGTGCCTGAATACATTCAAAAGGTTGGCTTGTATGAAGCCAAATTAAAATAATTTACAAAATATGACACGTGGCACTTTTATTAACCTCATCCATTTTGTATGAAGTTATTAAATCCTCCATAAAAATGGTTATGGATGATTATGACCCGCGGTACCTCAACTTGCATAAATGTTATTCATTTTTGATTCCTTTTAACTGTTAACCGTAATAACCCATCCTAAGTAATTGGAACAGACCTAGATAAGTCTGAGGGACTCACCAGAGAATTAAAAATGAATAAAAAGAGCAGCTTTAACGAGGATGACTTTAGTTCACAGGAACCCTTTAACTCCCAACTCTACAATACAAGGAGCCATAAAAAGGTAGAGACTTACTGTTATGGCATGTATTATACATTACAGACACGGGAAGAAATATTGCCCTAAATTCTACATTTACTTCACTCAAGAAGGCATTTCACATACTCAGAAGTGTAAATATCAACCTTTATCAAAACATCTTGTTAAAAACTACTAGTATGAGTTAGATGATCACGCCAAGTCTGTTTTTGAAGCTAAAATAAACTGAAGCAGCATGTGCACTGAAAGCAAAGTGAGACTGAGCTGGTAGTGCAATGTGATGAGTGAAGAAAAGCAAATACAAGTCAGAAAATGACAGTGTGTATGTGCGTGTCAGTTGGGCGGCTGTTTGCTGAAGTTAACCAAATCAAGTAATCCTGAGAGTTGTAGTTATGCAAGCGGGGTGATTAATGCCAGCAGGTTGCACCGGATTCTTTCCTCAGTGTGAAGAAAGCAACAACATCCTGTTAGCCAACGCTAACAAAAGTCATAAGCAAGAACAGATGCAAATTAGCATCTCTTTGCAGCATCAGAAGCAAGACTGCCATGGAGGGAGGGAAGGAGAAGGGCACTCAGATTAGCAGCCAAAAGCAGCGATGATGATGAGCTAGTGCTAAAGAAAAAGGGGCAAACACCGAGCCACTTACAAACTCTGCACATCACAGCAAGCCGTTCTTCACAGGAAGAAGACAGAGCAGGAGGAGGGGGTTGTGAGCGATAGAACAGGAGTGGATTGGAAAGAAAAAGCTTGATTAAAGTCATCTTCAAGCAAGGGAACAGTATCCTCATCTCAAAACTGTGGGTCTGGAAAACTCATTATACTCCAAAGGCATTTCAGTCATCTTAGCAACATTACAGATTTCATTCATTCAAGTACCAAATGTCATACGTGGCACTATGTGGAGCATTGTAGAGAGGGAAAACTGAAAGAAGACAGGAGTGAAAATGAGCAGTAATAAATGGATGATGTCTAAAATAAAAACCTTATCAAAACAGCAAAAATATGAATACATGACATATTTACACATCACAGACACATATAAATGTCTCCATCGTTCACCCACACACTAACCTGAAGTCCTCAGAGCCCAACACCTCAGTGTAGTACATGACTTTACACTTGTGTGAGGAGACCTGGAGGGTGGCCAGCACGTCATCCACTCTGGGCAGGTTGGTGGCCGAGCAGGCCGCCATGTTGTGGAACTTCCACTGGAGGATGTAGAAACCCGGCCACCTCGTTATGTGGGAACCCTGAGGAAGGATTCAAAGTACAAACAAGCAAAAATGAGGATCTGTAGAAGTAACAATGATCCAAGAAGACATCAAAAGTTCACGATCATAAACCAACCTGCACACTCTCGCCCTCCTTGCAGGTGAGCGGAGACTCGACCATGCTGTAATCCTGACCCAGCGTCCAGGACTTGTCAATGAGCTGCACGTTGTTGCCTCCTGGGGAGGTGATGCCGTGGGTTCCCTGGATATCTTTGCGTGGTACTTGCGGAGCTCGCTTTGAGTGGTAGATGTTGAAAACAATGTCGCCTTTGCACACATCGAAATCCCAGGTAATAACCGAGGAGGCATCGATGATCTCGATCACAATCTGATGGGGGTGGAAGATATTAAGCAGGTTTACATAAAGTGCATGGGCTGTATAAGATGATGTTTTTGGCATTAAAAGTGAATCGACTGATTGCAAAAAGAAGTACGGCTGTGAAGACGTGTGGGAAAATCACTCTTTACCTGTCACTTTTGATAATCTAGGCCAGAGGTGTCCAACTCCAGGACACCACACTTATGATAATGATAATAATGATAATAATAATAACTCCAGGGCTCAAGTGCCAGCGCCCTGCAGGTTTTAGATGTGTCCTTGACCCAACACAACTGATTTAAATGGCTAAATTACCTCCTCAACATCTTAAAGCTCTACAGAGGGCTGGTAATGAACTAATCATTTGATTCCGGTGTGTTGACCCAATGTGATATCTAAAACCTGGAGGACACCGGCCCTTGAGGCCTGGAGTTGGACACCCTGGTATAAGCACTAGTTTTGATGCTGTTAGCATCCATTAATCTCTGTGCACATATGTAAAATATGTATGTACTCAAATATGTGGGAAAATGGTATCACTTCAAGAGGGGAAAGAGAAGTATCTAAAACATATGAATGCAGTTTTTAGGCCCGGTGACTGCTGAGATTAAGATCAAACTTGCTACTAGGAGGAAACTGGCTTGTAAAATGGTAAATGGCCTGTATTTATATAGCGCTTTACTAGTCCCCAAGGACCCCTAAGGGCTTGTAGTCTAAAAGCAACTTGAAACATCAAGCTTAGAAAAATACTACATCCTCTTGAGAACAGAGAAAACAAAAAACAGTTTGTGTGTCCACTACAGACGACATGCATGAATAGTCTGGGTCTCAAAAGGCTATAAATGACAAATCCTTTCCATATACAAACTTCAGGTAAACAGCAAACTAGAGAACTCAGTTACCAAAAGCAGTGAAATAAAATGGTTCATTTGCGTGACGGTCTGAGACCATTAAGATAAAAAGCAAAGCCCTTTCCAGATGGGTGATTATGTTTGACAGTGTCCCTTTGGTATAAATCATGCAACACGAGGTTACGCCACATCACTGCAGGCAGATTATATTTCAAAGTCACGCTACATGTGTTCCTCGTCTGAATTCAGAATCTACCTAAGATGCGTTTAACAAGTTACAACCACTAGGTGGCAGAAAGTTTCACAACACCTCCATCAGAGGCACTGTGCAGTTCTCTGTTGTCCTGACCTACTATTCATATCAGAGCGACACAGGCCTTCCATCGTTTTCTTTTACTTTCCGTGCATTCAGCCTCACCTCATGCGGAGCTCCTTTGAAGATGCTGGCGCTTTGATAGATCATCTCAGTCCACAGACGGATGTCCTCGTTCTCGACCTCCTCGGCTGTGCGGTACATGGACTTGGGAACCAGGCCACCCTCCGGTACCTCACACTGCAAAGAAAAAGCACACGTGTACACTGGGTCAGTAAAGGAAAACTCGACGTGGGTGGTGTCATGTTTTAGGATCAATTTTTACTCTGAGTTTAAATCTTACAGTGACTCTCACCATGCACTCTCCTCCCAAGAAATCCGGAATGATTTCCTTGTCTATGTAGTCCACGAGACCTCCAGCACCCTGATAGTCATTGCCTGCGTAGATCAAGAACTTCTTGCGGGTGTTTTCATCAATAAATGGGCTCACCTGAGGGAGAAGGCAGATATTAAATGCATGACCTGCCTGCAGTAACATGAGGAAATACTGGTGCAGCATATGAAACTTGTGTTTGATAACAATCCACATTCCTTTCCCACCCTAAACCTTATAAATGCTAAAACAAGGAAGTTGTTTAACCAGTTTCTTGGTTAATTAAAGCAATAATGTAATAATGCAATAATATGCAACTATTCTACCCTTAAATAACCAGTCAAACCCATGTTTAAAATACATGACTTAATTAAGTCAGGAAGGTAAACACTATAAAACAAACTGAAGTCTTTTGTGACGTGCTTTTTGCATGAGCAGTCAATAGGCAGCAGAGCTAGGTGACCAGGTGTCCTATTTTATGTGTGACTGCACAGCATTTTTATCCCTTGTCCCTCATTCTACATATTGAGTCAGTGCTCTACATTTAAAAAGTAGAACCATTTTAAAAGTCAACACTGCAGGACAAAGCTTGGCTCTTTTCCAAAGACTGTAAAGAAAGCAGGAAAGTTATCATCATGCATCAAGTACAGGCTAACCTGTAACCTATCTTCTGCCGCCTAAGCTATGTGTAACAGGGAAAACTGACTCCTGCCAATTCAAATCCACAAACTAGACATGTATTGTCACAATATGATGGAAAACCAATTAAAAAGAAATACAGGTCAAACAGCTAGAAGGTGATTCTTAGAGGTGGCTCTTCATTTTTGCCAGAGTAAAGCGATCCTTCACATGCCAAACCTGTAACCTACAAATTTCAGTCTATCTGCACAACTGTCTTGTCCACACTACCAGATGCAACCATACTCTGTTTGCTGGGATCCTGTCACCTTAAGTAGAACCCAGCAGAACTTCCGGGACTTGAAAGCTCTTATTTCCATTTGGGGCCAACGATGCTGCTGTTGCCACTGCTTAGCAAATACTACACATTTGTGAATACTGGCAACTTCTGCATGTGTCAAAATAAGAGTGTGAAACAGACTGAAAAGTCACTGTATGCATAATCCGGTGCTGTAACACGATGACCCCACAGGGTCTGAGTTAGTCTTATCCTGGGTCTCACCAGTGTCCAAAGGACTGGGAAGACTCTTGGAGCTCTCAATATAAGCAGCCGTCCTAGAGTCTCAGGGTAATTTGCCTCCACGACCTCGATGATCCTCAGCAGCGCCTTGACTCCTGGTCGCCATAGGTGACGCATGTTCAGCCCCTCCAGATCTACTAGACATGTCCAACAGCTAGAGAAGAGGACATGAGAGGATTAGGGATGTGTGTGTATAAGGACAGCCACAAACCCATAAATGGGCTACGGCCTCTTTTTGACCACTTAGCACTTGTCACTCTGAAGTGAAGCTTAAGTGGTGAAGGCAGTGCTTGCTAATTCTGGAACCCTCCAACCCTTGCAGCACATTCTTCCTTTCCTTCTATCTGTCCTGGCAGAGTGCTGTGACGTGACAGCCTCTCATAGTTCACATGCCTTCCTGCGCAGCTCTTATCCCAGGCACCTCCTCCTCCTCCTCCTCTTGCTGCTGCTTCAGAGAGCTGACAGATGACAGATACCATCTCTGTTCCCTCCCGCTCACTCTGTCAGTTGCCATCTGAATGAGTCCCCTGAAAGGCGAGCCTCATGTGCGCTTTCCATTTTGGGGGAGATAAATTCTGCTCTGGACTCACTCATAGTGTGTGTGTTTGTGTGTGTACCTGTGCCCAGTTCTGACTGCTGAACCGAATCTAAAACGGCTTGCATGTTTTTAAGCTGCTTTTAACCTGCATTTATATTCACCTACAACCACATTCAAAGCCGTTTTACACAAGCACTGGACTATACCTACCACTGATGCTGATTATTTTTCTTTGTCAACACTGACACTGTGTTATTAGTTCATATTAACTGTCTAGATCACAGGCAGTATGGTGAATTCTGTCTTCATACTCTGAACCACTACGGAGGCTTCTTAAAAAACAAACAAAAAAAACCAACTAAAACATCTAAATTAATTTAGACTGGCATAATGTATAAAAACAGAAAAAAACAAACAAACAAACAAACAAACAAACAAACAAACAAGTAAACCTGCAAGTTCTGAAACTCCAGAAGCTGGAAATAAAGTATGCTGAAATGGTTCCTTCATATGCAACAACTGATTAAAAAAAGAGGAATAGCAATTTTTGCTAAACAGGTATTAGATACATGAAAGTAAAAACAAAATAAAATGTAAAAAAAAAAAAAAAGAAAGAAAGAAAAATCTATCTTAACAACACAGAAATAGTACAAAAATAATAATTTTCAGAATTAAGAAAATCGAGGGTGATGACATGTAAATGTTACCTTTTAAAATGTTCTAATAAATTATTTTTCAGTAGTACATTACTTTTCTGATGCAGCAAAAGAATTGAGACCAGTTTTTCTAAGGTCATTGTGAATAAGAGGTGCAGCCTCTGTCATACTGTGATGTGAGACCAGGTACTGTGTTTAAAAGTAACCAGAGAGCAGAGATAACAGTTTTTGAAATGGAGCCTTTTAAGTCAACGTCACACAGGGATACTCTCCTGTTTGTTATGGAGGACTATCAAACTATTGTATGATGTAACATCAAGCGAGAAAAGTATCACTTGTGATGAAGCACAGCACAGTTTAACAAATATAGGTTTTATATTTATATAAAACATCACAATAAACAAACAGACAAAACAGGAAATTGTACAACGGTGTTATGAGTAATAGAAGAAAGAGCAATTTGTTTCTGTATATAGTACATATGTATTTATATCAGGTCTTTATCTTCAGTTTTCTTGAGTTGCTCCACAAGGAACAACTTGTGAATTGAGCTTCCAGTCAAAGCCCTGTTTGAATATGTGATGCATTTCAGTTTTACTCTTTTCTTGAACTAAACTCAAAGACAGTCTGCAGATTTAAAGCAAGGACCAGTGGAATATAACGTAGTATCACCTTTGAGAGGCAGAGATATATTGGTTTACAAATATTGTGAATAATAGAGGTCCAAGATTTTTTCAACAATCTAACATATTGACAGGTTGTAAAGGTTTACCTGATTGGCCGACCAAACACCTTTGTGTTCTCCTCACAGCGTCTCAGACCCTCCTCATTGATAGAAAGCACCTGCAGTGACATGAATTGTACATTTGACACACTTGGCTCCCACACTCCACTCCACAGTGACTGCAGCATTATAAATCAGCACCCTTTACACAGCCTGCGTTCTGTATATAGCCTGGTGTTAATTTACCTGGCAGGAAATGCCACCGGACATTAATTCTCCAACCTGTAATCCAAAACCGACCTGACCCAGCGCTTCCGTATTACAAACCCAGCGGCCTGCCTGGCCTGAATTGCCCACTTTTTCTCTCTCTTGCACCAACTGTGTGTAGAAATGCAACTAATAGAACAAAGCATCAGGTTGATAACAGGGGTAAATTAATGAGTACGTTATCAAATTGTCCTGTGCAATTCAAAGAAGCAGGAGTTAACAAATATTGTGGCAGAAACCCTGTCTGACCTATAAACTCATCAACCTGCACTACAAACACAAAACCTTAACTGCAGTACAGTGTGTTTTACATACATGTCTGAGCAAAGACTCCTCCCCGAGAGCGCGCACCAGTCCTTTGGTGTCCATCTGGCCAAGCCTCAGGATGTACAAAGGACGGCCGTCTGAAAAATTAAAAATTAAATAAATGTTTACATGATATATCACATGATTTACATTCCACAAAGACTACAAGCTAAGTGGAAAGGTCAGCATTGCTGGCCATCTGCTCTTGTTACATAAGACAAGTTATTGTGTACACTGAGGAATGCTTTCATGTTTTGTCCCTGTTGATACAAGGCTAATACTTGTGGAAAATTGGAAATGAGAAGATTAAATAGGCTCTGGTGTGGCAACATAAAAGCTTTGTTTGACTTATACGTTCATTCTTTTCCCAAATAAGGAATCCAAGGAATCTACTCCAAAGAAGACTGTCACTGTGAGAGTGTGTGTACTATTTGGGTAACCAAGTAGCACCAACAAGCTAGATCATTTTTATTTTACACACTTGGCTGAGAGCTGCGGGTTGCTAAGAATGGTTGAGATCTGTTTACACTGTAAAGTCACATAAGAAAACATTATGTTGAAAAACTGCAAACACGACTGCATGATTGTGTAAGTGGAGTCTCCTCTACGGAACAGTGCAAGTTTAGCGCTGACATAACCTACACAAGTCATAAGATCATGTGTTTCCATACTGATGCACATGCAAGATTTCAGTATGCCTAATAAAATTATCTTTAGTTGCGGCTGTAAATACCAACCCACCTTTGTCGTGGTGGTGCCAGCCGCCGGTGTAGTAGTCCTGAAGAACCTGTGGAGAGCTCCAGGTTTCCAGCAGGTAGTCCACCTGGTGCTGCTTCCTCCAGGTCAGAGACTGGCACAAGATCTCCCGCGCTTTATCCATGTTGAAATCTCTGGCCCGCAAGAAACGAAGGATGTGCTCATCTTTAGGGATCTGAACAGAGTTGGAAATGGTTACACTTGCCACCATAAAACACATCACTGTTATTTAAAGACATTATAAAGCTAATTTGTGAATAGTTAATGTAAAATACAACATTATCAGTAGCCTAGCTAAGATAGAGTAGTAGTGCTAAATATTACTTTTAGCAATAACTAACTCAAATGTATCAATAATGTATCCAGTCATGTTTTGTTATTATTCCTTTTGAGAAACAGTGCAGTACCTTTCCCTTGTGTGTCTCCTGAAGCCACTTGCGCAGTCTGATCAGGCAACTCTCCTGCAGGGGTGTCAGGTCACCCAGGTAACGTTTGATATAGTCTGCATCCAGCTTGTCTGCAACATAAAAAAACACAAAAAGTTAGACTGCTGGACAGTAAATTAATGTGTAATAAACTTACTGAAATATCACCAATAAATCACAAATTCTAATGAAAATCTTAGATTCTGTAAACAAGGCCTTGCCCTAGCTGTCAACAGATATGTAATTGGATGTCACGATTCACAATAAGAAATATGTTTTTTCAGAAATTACATCCATAACTGTAAACAACTTTTCAAGACGCTGAATTCCATTCTCACACCCATCCCCATTCTTGAGCAACTACTTTTCCTCAGTTATTTAAATTATTCACCAAAGTTGTCTAACTGGTTGTTGTTTTTTTTCAACGATGCTTGCAGATGACAAACTGTTGCGGCAGTGGTATAAACCAAATTTAGTTACACAATACGATTTCAATATTAGCCATTTTTTGCAGAATATAATTATATACACAATTCTAAAATAAGCTTCTAGGATTCATTTTCTGAATCTTCAGGTACAGACCTTCTGGTGTCCCCGGCAGAATCTCTGCGAGGCTGTCGTTCTGAAGCAAGTTGCTGTCCTGCTTTGCATCCTGTGAGGGTCCATCCCTGGCATCTGCAGACAGTGGGACTGAATCGGCAGGCACGATTCCAAGCTCAGGTTGGTTCGTTGAGAGGCTGGTGGGGCTGGAGAGAGGCAGGGAATGAGAGGAGGGACTCCAGCGGGGCACATGAGTGAGCCCCTCATCATCCAGCTCCTTTAGGTAGTATTCTATGATTTCTTTTCCCTGTTAGAAGGAAGGAAAACAAGTGTGAGAATACCGAAAAACATGATCTACATGTGTTTTTATTCAACCAAGAAAGGCCATGTAGCGTTTAGCATTTTCCAACTAAAGCGTCATTTTAAACTGAAGCATCAGCTAATGAAAACAGAAGGAAAAAATGAAAGGACTGTATTCTACATTGTTCATTAATGAAGGTGGATGACTCACTGGGTCCACAACAAAAGAGCCCTGTCCAGTCTAAAAGTTTACACAAGCTTATTTATGCAATTACAGTGTGAGATGGACTGAGTCATGTTCCAGAAACATCTAACCTCGTAGGACAGAGTGAGATCTGAATAATTCATAACGCAGTCATTGTGTTGTTTAATGTTACTGTGCATCGGTACATTCACACATAAATGACGGGATGAAACAATAAGCACACATAAACACACCTTTTTGATACTGCTGGCATACTGCTTCATAGCAATCTTTTCCACGGTGCTCTCAAAGCCGAAGAAGGACTTGATGTCCAGACTGGCGGTTTGCTCAAAACACGTCCAGTCTTCATTCTCCGGGTGGACCTGGAGACAGACACACACACACACACACAGACACACACAGACACACACACACACACACACACTATATTAAAGCTGTAAGCAACACAGAACCGCATAACCATGTTACTATGGTAACCATACACCCAGCTTCATTACATGATGACGCACAAAGAAAGCAATTTTCACACAGAGCACTGTGAGTGGGAGTCTGTGTGTCAGTCTGTCCATGTTAAAATTAGCCAGCATTTCACACATGAACAGTCATGAAGCTTGAAATGCACACATTTCCCTCAGTGCTGTGTGAAGGTCATCTTCGGCAATAGCAAAAATCATTCTACAATCATGCTCGGCAGCTGGAATTTATTTCTTTTTGAAGTTATGGCTTTTTGAAGTTATTAAAGTGAGTGGGAGAGAAACTCAACATTAGTTTCTGTGGGTCAGGGACATAAAAAAACATAAACATAAGCATAAACAAACTCATCAAATTCAGTGACTTGAATAATTTTATATTTGTCCGCTAGACTTTTATGCACAACCCTTAAAGTGTTGTTTTCAGGCCAAACTGCAGTAGTAAGGACTGGCTGGCCAGTATATAGCACTCTACACTGCATATATCTTAGATCTATGATGGTTCTAGAAGGATTTGTTAGGATGACACTTGTGACAAAAAACATTTTTAAATGTATTTTAACAAAAATGTCATTTTGATTCAAGCTACAATATCAGTAAATAAAGAGTCACACGCTTCTAAAGCCATAATGATGGTAACGTGTTCACCCTTGACTACCAAAATATTTCATCTGTAGCCCGGTCCATTAGCTCAGTCTAACAGCACTGTCCATCCTGGTTACTGTTATCACAGCATGTTAAAGTATACAGTATAAGCCTCTGTTTGGCCTTAGACCTAAAATTAGCACTCCAGTTGGTTGGAGGCTAACTCAATGTGCTTGACCTCATTAACTCAGCACACATGCATTCATAAATAAGCTCATCTGGAGTCACAGTTTCGCATAGTGCAGAAAGAAAGTAAAGAGATGCTGGTTTCATTTCAGTATTTTGTGAGTAACCAAGCAGAATGCAGACGACTAAATAATTCACAAGGAAAGATGGGCCGAGACAAACAGAAGCAGGCTCAGTGGTAGTCCAATCATGGATGCAGGGAAGAGATTAAAGGAGGCACAAACATCAACATGGCTGTGCTGGTGGCAGCTTGCCATTCAGCAGGTGAACAACAGCGTTACAGAACATGTCAGTGTTTGCTCATTTGTCTGTATGCACAAGTCAGCCTAAATAGCCAAACGGGTTGAGCGTGTCACACTGCCAGGATCTGGGTTTTAGTTTGCCTCTGTAAAACCTGCCCCAGGAATACACACTTTCATGTTACAGCCTGCTTTGTATAATTTATACACACTTCTCCCACCTTAAAATGAATATGTTACTTTAAACCAGGAAATGGTAATGTAAATTGGTTGCAATGTACCTTGGCTGTACAGGACCAACAAAAAAAGTGGACACAAGGTTCTGGTACACGTGGATTAAAGAATCCTTGCAGTTATTTTTAGATCACTCTCTGGAAGCCCCATATTGATCACCTGTACAATCCTCAAACGTCTGTTTTCTGAACTAACTCAGTGTTTGTGGTAAGGATCAGTACTGGTCATGAAAGACATTTTCTTGAGCATTTTTCCAGCAGTTTCAGTGAAAGGGTTGAGTTTTTATGCCAGAAGTTAGCATGCTAGGTGTAGAGCAAAACCAGGAGAGTGGAGTCTACTTAAAGATAAAAACAGCAGCTGCACTGAAACAAGTGAGAAATGACTTTCATTAAAATTAGTGAGGGATTTTAACAGTTTGCTCTTTGCTTGAAATGTCTATTGCTGATAGTATGCTACATACCGAATAGCAGCATGTCTCGTGGACGACAACCCTGTTGGAGAAGGTCTCATTGTGGGACTCAATGTGCAGAGTCCTTTCCTTTCGGTTCAGCGTGTTTTTCTGGATGAAGTAGACATAGTCCACACCTGCAATCTGTAAACAATAGAACTTGTATTATAAATGCAACTGGCATGAAACACAGACACTGAAAATAAAAGATAAAACTACCTTTGCAAAAATTAACACTAATACATTCTGTAAAAGAAAACAATCATGGCGAGTACTGAAATGTATTGTTCTCAAAACAATATTAAAAGTCATTAGTAAAGCATTAAAGCTATATTTATGATACTCAATTGCTGGAAATCTAAAGTACAACAAACCCTTTTGAGAAGGCGTGGGGCATCCACATCCAGGGCACAGCGGCGCTCAATCTTCTGGGTGGAACCATCCTCACTGGTCTCCTCATTCACAACGTCACTCGCCACAAACATGGGGATGAGGTGACAAGTAGGGAAGCGGCGCTCATAAGCCTGAGAAAGAGAAGAGGAAATGCATAGCCTGTTAACACCAGAGCTTTTAAGCTGGAAACACATTTTTAGATTTCCAAGGATAATTCCAGTCTGCTGACTCGTTAATTTTCAGAAGGGTTTTTCCTCTGTTGTTCTCCAAACTGACATCTAGACATGATTAGTCAACAGAAGCCTGACTTAAATAGAAAACCTGAAGGGCTTATCTCTTGCCTACAGATTTGACATATTCATACACCGGCACGTTTAGAGATTAAGGTTCGTTAGTCGACAGTGCCTGACATCTATTATAGGGCTCATGGTATATCAAAATCTGTTGAATATTTTTTTTATCTTAACTAGAGATATTTGACTGGCTTATAAACAGCAGTTTGGAAAGAGAACAGCACTAATGCTTGTTTCAAATTAAACAACTGAGGCTCAGGAAAACTTCAGCAACAATGGCACCAGCCAGTTTACATGAACTCCATTAGAAAACACTTCACGTATTCTAAAAGGGAGGAATTTAAATAGGTGGGACGGGTAGAGCAGAAGTGAGAGGCTAAATAAAGCTCCTTCAACTTTGTACACTTTCAAACTGCTTACTTGAGCTGAACCACAGTGGCATCAAAGCAAATGAAGCGCTTTTCAGTTGTTTTACAACAAAGGGTTGAACACACAATAGCAGTTTTTGTACTTGAACACAACACCGGCTCCATAATGCGTTTAGTCATAAATGCAAAACACAGGCAAATTCAGCTCTATTGCAGGGGCCGGCCAGCTGTTATACAACTGAGTCTGCTGGCACAAAGTGCAGGAACATTACTTCTTTTTCTATCGTCAACATTCATCCATCTTAGATATGATTACTGTGGTTGCGCAAGGAGCAAGTCCAAACAGACGACTGGAAAGGCAAGTCTAAAATAAAAACAGTGATCTTCCAGATAACTTGTGCTGGAGACAGTCCAAGTTTATCACAACATTGCACTAGCCTGAAACTCCCTTGTCACGTATCCTACTAACGTGATATTTCCTGTTTTGTACTGTCTGAAACTGGATGCTGAAATTTAATTCCCTAAAATATGAATGGGAGCATTTATCTATGACTCAAAGAGCACACACACACACACACACACACACACACACACACACACACACACACAATAAAAGGACACAAAGAAGGAAAGAAAGAACCAAAAACAAAGGGAAAGGGAAAACACAATGTCGGGAATGTGGTGGTGCAAACCTATCAACAGCATGTTTACCGTTTCATAAAGACATGGCCCGTAGGTTTCAAAATATCCAAGCATAGAGTGAAATTCAAGTCTGTGGACAAACTTTACAAGATCAACTGGAAGATCAACTGCTGCTCACAAGACTTTTGAGGTTGGTGGAGTTGGATGTCAGCTGAATCTCTGACAAAAGGAGCTTTATTTTGTGGAGCAAAGGACAACCAGTAACCCTGAGGTCCTTTGAAAACCATAGAACAGCAAATTGGTGTGAAATAGGCTTTAAATTCAAGCTCACGTTTAACATTCTTAAAACACTGAGCCATTTGCTCTCGAAATTCACTATTAAAATATTTGTCTTTTCTATATTTAAAAATATAAAAAATACAAAAGAGGAGGTTTTGAATGTTTAGTATGCCAAGTAACAGCAGTTTTGTGTTGGAGGAGGCAGCCAGTGGGGTTCAGGAGCTCCTGGCATTCCTGTGAGGAGCTGCCCACCGTGCACTGACTGCATGAATGCTGAGCTCTGTTTTTCAGCCCCAATGCTCTGGAACACTGGGGGTTTGGTTTTTGTCCTGCCGTCAGCACAACATCACTGACTGTAAATGTCAATTTCATCCCTTTAAAAAAGAAAAAGAAAAGAAAAAAAAGAAAAGAAAAGAAAAAAATCATACGTCAACAAAGTCAACCACAAATGTTACGTCTTCACAAACAGCACTAGGTTTCATTCCAATGACAGGCTTAGATCCTGTATGGTTCAGATCATTCAGCAAACCATGAAGAGGAATACGTTTTCTTCAGAGCCTTCACTTCATGCGGAAACAAACCAGCTTTTAACTGCTTTGTGTTCCCAAAATAGCCAGGCTGTTGTACTATTAAAAACAGGAAACAGAAGGGTCGTGATTCTAGGTTATTCCTGAAAACATTTTTTCTTTTTTCCTTCTGGGTAAGTCGCGGCTTTTCAAACCTTGTCTTAACTCAAGGCTCACTGAGGGACATTCAGGCCTGGATTTATCTGTGAAAAAATACAGTAGTTTTTAAATCAAACACGGTCCTAATTTAAATCAGCACCTGGATATTGCACGTGAGCGCATAGACGGTGCAAAAAATAGTTCCAGCATCCATGGCTAAAAAAAAAAAAAAAAAAAGAGTCAAAATAAAAAAGCAATCACTTTGGCTCCAAGACCGTATAGGCTGATAAGGAAAGACCCTCTCTTTGCGACTTCAATAAATACATCACTGATGAGTTGTTAATTTCGGGTCATGAAATGAATCATGAAGTTCGTTTTGTAAATTACAATTATTATTAGAATCAGAAGAAAGGATTACCCTGGTGTGCTTATTGGCAAATCACAAGTCATCAGACAATGAGTGCACGGTGACTTCTGTCTCAGTCAAATCCACCGTTCGCTCATCAAGTCCAGCTTCAAACACCAAGATGGCAATGACAAATGTGAAGGTTTCAAAAACAGATAGGCCAGTGGTCTATTATGGCAACTCTCTTTTCTACTGCCCATGTGTAAAAGCACTTCAGCTCGCCTAGCATAGAGCTCCATATCACACTTTCACATGGTCCAACAAAGGCTCCAGGACTCTTCAAGGTGGCCAATTTTCTCTCAGTAGAAATCTTCAAATTCTAAATCCCTCCTTGGCTTGTTTGGCACCATGATAGCATCTTAGCTCAAGCTGATGGTTCTTGACTGCTAAAAGCATGAAACAACAGGGCTTCTTTTCTATTGGTTGTTAGCCATTTGCTGCACAGAAGAAAGTGACTCCACTAGTGTGAGTAAATTCACTTCTGTGCGCAGTTATGCATTGCAATAATAACAATAACAATAATAATAATAACAATAACAATAATAATAATAACAATAACAATAATGTGTGGCTAACACAAAAAAAGAAAAAAGAAAAAAATCACATACTTAAACAGAAAGCCAGTAATACACTGAATATTTTGGACACTGGTGCAACTATAAATAATTAAAGATTTTACCATGACCAATGAGATGCAGGACTGAAAATAAAAACTTTAGGCAAAGGCCAAAACATCTTCTTCTAGAACCAGCGCCTGAGGTTATCAAACACTACAGCTTATCTCGGATGTGCCAACGCACCACAAGAGGATCGAAACCTTCCTTTAATGATGTAGCCAATCGTAACATGATGCATCATGTTACTATTGGCTCTCCACGCATGACTCAAATGACAGCTAAATGCACATGTGTGCCAGCATGAAGTAAACATCCAGGCTATTTGGCATTTATCCTGATGATTACTCTGCTCTACATTAACCTACAATTGAAAGCTAACAAATAGTTTGGTTCTGTTATTCCATTAAAGGGGACTGAAAAAGCTTTTCTATATATTTTTGCAACGCTGTTATAGCGGTGGACACTTATATTAAATATTGTTAAAGTTTTGGTTAAAGTAGTTTCAGTGTATCTACTTGTAATCCCTGAGACAATAGATTGGGCTCCTCTTGTCCAGTGTTCCGGTAAAAGATAAGAGGCTTTCCTAGATGTTTCAATTGAGTGTATAAAAACAATGTATAACCATCAACATGATGCGTGTTTTATTAAAGCTGATACCTGCAGCACTTGAAATCCAAACCCAGAAGTTTTCTGTAAGAAAACAAACCAGCCGGAACAAGACAAACATTTTCCCGCCCTCGATTGAGTCACTGAAATAAAAAGCAGGCACTGATGACACATCAAGCCAAACATACATGGTAACCAAACTCCACCACTGTAAATATTCATTTGCCCTTTGCCAATACTCTTTCCTGGAACATAACAGAACAAAATATTTCCAAGTTTCCAGACTCCAGGTATTTTAAAGAACAGGTTTAAGGACACCCTCCTCCACCAGCTTCCACGGTTTAGAGAATCAGACATACCTCAAGTGGCCAAACCCTGAGTAATGGTTCCTGGAATTTGTTTGTTCTTTCCAGGAGTGAACGAGAGAAAATATATAACAATATACTGTTACTTACATCCTTCCTGCATACACAAAACAGTTTCTCCTTTGAAAAAAACAGCAGTGTTGATTAAGGCACGGGTCTGGAAAATAAAGCTAATCCTGCACAGGAAGGGAGATTCAGGAAGTTCCAAGAGTTCTGGGGAGTACACAATCAACTTTAAGACTACAAAGGACCACATAGTGCGTGTGTGTAATATAATACCAAGCAAGAAGTAGTAGTTCTGGCAGGTAGCCCAGCTATTATCTGGCCTTTAATGGTGGGATATAGAAAAAAAAAGAAAAGACAAAAAAACCCCTTAAATATAGCTGCAAATCCAATCCAAACAAATTCAGGAAAAAAGTCAAGTAGTTAACCACCTGACTAATCTGCCTTTGTTGTTGTCTTATTTCTTTTATTTGGCTCCAGTTCCTCAAACAATTTTATCTATTTGGCACATAAACATCAGGAAAAAAAAATTCCCAAAATATCTTCAACAATCAAATTACAAGCGACTGTGCAGAAGCGCTGAAGAGGTGTTTTGACATCTGACCCAGTTTATGCCCAGTGCGCATAGTTTCGGACATACTGAAAATGAATAGCTAACTTAGCACATCTTTACCTAGCACTGACCTAGGTCGATCGGAGATGTAAGATTAAAACAATACTGCTAAACAGAATCATGTTATATCTTGATACAGTATGTTGTTAGTGTCAGGAACAATTTAATAAATTCAAGCCTGAAAGTTTTGCAGCACATAAAACCTTTATTTTCTGCACAAACTGACTACTGCCTCTGACCGTTTAAGACCGTTCGGATGCATTTACACCAGAGA